CGATTGTCTAGAAAATATAGGAGCCTCGACGTCTCACAACACTATTAGCTTGTACGGCCTGTTACAGGGATAGCTTTACCTTTGTACCTACCAAAGAGAATAGTGTTTTAAATAATGTTACAGATCTTAATAGATTATATTTTGCGTCATTGCTTAAACACCGAATTTAAATTTGAGCTTCTTTCGATATATGCATTAAGCCTATACTGACTTTATGTAAACCAAAATTTAATACACCCGACAATGTTTACTCTAAACTCCCATGCCAAATTTTATAGAAATCAGCTAAATTGCTTTCGAAATGAAATACATGCTGAAAGACGGACACATTGCATAAACAACATGACATCTGCATTATGCGTTACTTTATGGACTGCTTTCAAAACACGCATAGAGTTTAAATTGTTCGGATGTGTATGATCCCTTGAACCGTCTGGTTGCGAATATTTGCGCTTTCCTGTACACATTTTACGTAATTAATCCAGTTTTATTATGCATCTGGCGGAAGCCGAGACTTGATGCAAATATTGACATTTCAGCAATTTATTGATCGCTTCTCTAAACATTTTTGCATTTATCTTCGCTCTATTTGAATTAAAATGGCTGTAATAAATTGTTCAGTTTACACAGCTACGCAGGTTATAACGTACTGTTCAGGAAGCTAAGACGTCAAGTCTCTTTTTATTTTCGTTACCTACATTTCTCTTGGCTGTGTCAGAGGCTCAATCTTGGCCATGGATTACAAAATAATACTCCCATTATTCGAGATTATTCAGTTGCATAGTACAAATATAACAAGAATTTCTTAGAAGAACTTACGACCCCTTAAGCTTAAGCGGTAACGTAGTTGGTTGAGGCACTAGAGTACAAGCCGGAAGGTCGCGGCTTCGAGTCCCGTTGAGGTGGACTTTTTCAATTTACCTAACCCTTCCAGCCGCACTATGGCACTGGGGTCGACTCAGCCTCTTACAGAAATGAGTACCAGGAACCTTCCTTGGGGGTAAAGGGTGACCGGCGCGTAAGGCTGACAAACTTACCGCCATCTGTGAACCGATTATCTAGAGAAACTGTGGGAACCTCGACGTCTCACAACTCTATGGGCTCCACGGCCTATTGCAGGGATAGGTTTCCCTTTTACGGCGCCTTCCTTCTATGCAGGGGCCGAGGTTATGACAGCGGTGGATATGAACAGTTACATCTTCTGGGACATAACGTCGTGTAGCCCGTTGAAATTCAACCTGCGTTATAGAAAACTATGTTTGACTCTCAGCATTATGTCCCAGAAGATATACGTGGTAACTCTTCACCGCTGTGAAAACCTCAAACCCTACAGACAGACAGAAAAATCTCACCACAAAGCTTTTTTTTTATATTGTAACCGAGATAATCGTGAAATTAAAATAATATAAATTTGCTTTTTCTCCCAATACGAATATCACTGACTGCCCAAGTTATAGACAGTAAACACAAAGACACTGAGAACTTGAACAAAAAAACATGCAGAGATGTTATTGTACCGTACTGCAGAAAATTGTGAATTACGGACTTTGACGGACTTCACGCTAGCTGAGTTGTTTTTATCTGTTTCTACAGAAGTAATTTGAATGCTCAACTTTATGACAGTTTAAGTTTCTAGGTAGCTCTGTCTTGGTTCATTTGAATGCCTATCACCTTCGCTTTGCTTTTGGAAGGAACTGAAAAGAATAACTTTCTTTTGTTCTATTTCTCTTTGGGATATGGACTTTGACTTCGATCTTTTGCTACACTATTTTCGCATGTATGTGTTCTGAATTCTAATTGCTAGATTTAGGAAATATTCGCCGTTCAAGCTTCACCATGAGAGCAGCTATGAGTAGTCTAACAGAATTAATGTTGAAGAAAGCAGTCTTTTGGGATTTGGCACCGTGTATAAGTGGTGTTAACCGGTGTTTCGGAGGAACGTATCGCCTCCATCTTCAGGGTAGAAGAAAATGTAAGAATTCTGCAAGCGAAGAGACCGTGAGAACCGGTAATTTTACACGGTGCCAAATCCCAAAAGACTGCTTTCTTCATAGTCACCGCCGTGAAAACCTCAAATCTTACATAGAATTAATGTTGCAATACTGGGTTGTGAAACACACAATATTGAACAGCTTACAATATATGTTACATTAATTGGAATAATCACTTGTTTTATACATTAATATGCAATTGGTGTAAAATCGGATATTATTTCCGTTTTAGTTACTATAGCATTCTGACGATGGTGTATAACACACAGAGATATTGGCTTTTCGGACNTTTTTCTTATTAGCTCTCATGGACTTAGCCTGGTCTCAGGTGTTTATAATCTTCATGTTTTGTGACATTGGTTTGTCCAGTGATTGAGGCTAGCTCTTTCTAAGGGACCCAACTGAATAGGTGTTTTCCTTCACCTGAGGACGGAAACAGATCCAGTTTCCGAAACGTCGTGTTTTTTATTTGTTATCTTAAAAACCAGGACGATGGATAAAGTTCGAAAACCCAATATCTCTGTGTATTTCCTATTTGCTTTAGTAGATTTCATCCTTACAGAGAGGAGATTAGGTATTATCAAATAATAATAATTATTAGTGTATAATTCCATTTAAATTCAATGACAAATAATTTTTTTTTCCCTATCTTCATCTTCCATTTCTTTTCTTCGTTTCTATTATCCCTGCCGTGTCGTTATCTCATTGTTCATTTCTTCGCTAAAATAATGAATTGAATTGTACTATCTTCATCCTTCAGAAAGTCATGTAACACACAAATAGGGTAAAGGTAAAAAAGGTAAAGTAAAGCCGTCCCTGTAACAGACCGTGGAGGGTCATAGGATTGTGGGACGTCGAGGCTCTCACATTTTCTAGACATTCGGTTCACTATGGCGGTGAGGTTGTCAGCCTTACGCTCCGGCCGCCCTTTACGCCCCAAGAAGATTTCTGGTACTCATTTCTGTTAGAGGCTGAGTTTACTCCAGGGCCATAGTGCGGATGGAAGGATTAGGTAAATTGAAAAATCTAATGACATCATCGGGAACTGAACCCGCGACCTTCCGGCTTTTAGCATAGTGCCCCCAACACGTAGTTAGGGTAAACATAAACCGTAACCCGCTGTACGAGTAATATAATAAGATGGCATATGTGTGCATATGAAGCTACTCGTAATTAGTCTTATTCTTTTGTTTCTTCCCCTTCCTCCAAAAAAAGATTGACATTTCGAAGCTCTTCTTAAGGTTCGGAAGATTCTGAAACAGCCTTGACTTGGGACGCGTATGTCTTTTGGGATACTGTCTTTGTGCCTGGAGTTTACGTTTATACACGTACATCCTGCTCTGTGATTTATTATTAACCTANCCGGTTCTCACGGTCTCTTCGCTTGCAGATTTCTTATATTTTTTCTTCTACCCTGAAGATGGAGGCGATACGTTCCTCCGAAACGTCGGTTAACACCACATATACACGGTGCCAAATCCCAGAAAACTGCTTTCTTCATAGTCACCGCCGTGAAAGCCTCAAATCTTACATTGATTAAGGTTTTGCTTTCGAATGTTCAATCCCAAAATTCGCTCTCTCCGGCTTCAGTTGCTTCTTAAAGGTAAACTGCGTGTCCGTTCCGATTTGAGTCGTGTTCTCAAGGAAGTAATGATACAGGCTGAGGACTTGATGTGTCGTGTCATTTCGGCGGCTTCCACCGCTGTCATCTTCAGGATACATTCTTTCTTTATTTATTTCCTTTGTCTCGTCTCTTGTTACTCTATCCTATTCTTTATCATTCTCAACTTTATGGCACATTCAAAATAAAATGATAAAACATATGCATATTAACTTTTCCATGCCCGTTCTTATGTCTGAGGTGACATCTCTAGAACAGCTAAACAGATTTTAATTCAGTTTTGTGCTGAGAACTATACGAAATTCTCAACCTATACCAAATTTGGCTAGACTCGGAAAAAAATATCGAGCAGTTTGTATCAAAATATGCATGAGTTTTTGCGAGCATAACTCGCTACGTATTTATCGCAGCGAGAAATATTTTGAACAAAGCTGCAGAGAAGAACGAAATGCGTTCTGCGCTCTAACATATTTTTCCTGCTGTTTTCGAGATAATTAAAATTAATTTATATGATGCATAGAGGGAGTAACAGAGAAATCGAACTAAAAATTTGTTACGCTAGGCGTACATTCCTTAATTTCTTCTTTCCCTTTAATTTTTTCCTTCCATTCAGTGTTCCCTCTAAGCTGTGCGCGTGCGCGGCTGCGCAGCCGCTGTCGCACTCCACCGCACGAGTCCCAGTTTCTTCCTGCTTTTAGGAGGCTTATTAATCTAATATTTTTATGGACTTTTCTAAAAAAAAATTGCTGCCCCCCCCCTCCCCCGAGTTGCCAAAGCCAACCCAACTGCTGCCCAGAGGAAACCATGATTTGCGCACCTGCATCCACGGCTTAGAGGGAAGGTTTCTTGGAATATAAGATTAAATTCTGGTAATCAGTTTTAGGCTTTCTCGAAACACTAGCTGGAACGTACGTGATATTGACTGTCGCTGTATATGCCAAATATGAAACGCATGACCTTGAACATTCATGGATCTTAATATCGGCCGTGGTTCTGACTGAGCGCACAAATGTACGCAAATCCCAGGAAACACATTGCATAGGTGCATTTAGGTTGAAAAAGCCTTCACACATTGACATGAAACGATGAAATTAGTGTTATATTGCCAGAATTAATGACGATTGGTGTATGGTTGTTCATGCTGAGACACGCTGTAATATCTGCTGTTTCTTTTATTCTTTTTCCGGGCGGTCCTCACTCTACAACCACGTGACACTTGGCTGGCCGGCACTTCTTCGCACGTGACGCTGGAACTTCATGGACGCAACGCATCCATCGTCCACTCAAATGGAAACTCTTCTCCACGTCTCTGTCTACAATCCTTCTACTTAAAAATCAACCGTATATTAAATTAAACATACATAATTATGTATGTGTTCATTTGTTAGTCCCATCCTTTTGATCGCCCAATATGACGAACATAGAGAGTACATGGACGGCTCCCTTGTACCCGCCTGTCTCACAGAGGTCAACACGTTCTGGTCCACTTTCTTCTTCATCATGACTATATCTATGTTCTTCCTTCTGCCTCTGCTGGTACTGGTCGTACTATACGCCGTTATGGCCCGCCACCTGATGGCCGACCCAGTCACCTCGGCCGTCAAGGACTTGGAAAGCACTAACACTCGTGCCAGAAAACAAGTAGTTCTCATGCTTGGCACTGTCGTACTCTCCTTCTTCATCTGCCTCATCCCCTTCAGAGTTTTCACTCTCTGGTTCATATTCGTCTCAGCAGAACAGGTGCATAGTCTGGGTGTGGAAGGCTACTACAATATCCTGTACTTCTGTCGGACCATGCTGTACCTCAACTCGGCCATAAACCCGATCCTGTACAACCTCATGTCCTCCAAATTCCGCGATGGATTCATGCGATTCTGTGGACTCCGGCGCAGAGACGCTGTTCTTCTGAGGAGAGGCACGACTTTGACGTCCGTGTATTCGAGCACCAGGAGGTGTAATAGTTCCGGGATGGCCCAGAGGAGTAGCCGTAACTCCTCGTGGAGGAGAGCATCCAGGTATTCCGTAGATTCTACTCCATCCAGTTCTCCCAAGTTTGAGAGGCGTCAACGGTCCTCGTCATTCAGGAGGAGTGCCATGATCAGGACGTCGGTACTGAAGAGAAATGGATCCTGCATACAAGACGATGTGATGAACTGTATTGAGATGAGACCGGGTCCCGAAAGCTTCGTGTAAAGATGTCCAGAAGGATGTGAGGATGTTCTGAGTGGTGTTTGCTAGTCTGGAAGGCTGTTTAAGCAGAAGGAATGGAACCTCTGTTACTCGTTATTTTTACTTCTCTGATGCTTATTATTGTTCTTAAAAGTGTTTCTCTACATAAAGTAGGGTTGTCCAACTTGTGGCCCGCCGGATTATTTTGTGGGCCTCCTCCAATATTATCCATTCATTCTCCAAAATACTTTTTAGTGACTGCTTCGTCTCTGAAATTTCGGCAAATCTTTAGAGGACCTTATCAAAAACGTACTAAATTAGCATATTCCGTGGTAATTTTTCAATTTGTTTCACACGATACATATTAAATAACTTTTAAATTATGGAATTAATATGACTTAATTGTAGTATGCAAGATCGGTACAGTCTATCAAGCCTTTAGGGGCTGACTTTTAAACACCGAATATTTATATCTTCAGGTATATAATGCGGTGTAGTCCGTTGAATGTCAACGGATGTTTCGGAGGAATGTCGGCTCCATCTTCAGAGTCGAAGAGTAAGCCAAGCAATAAATGGCTGTTTGATGGTTCCTAGCTTGGCTTATTATTCGATCCTGAAGACGGAGGTGACATGTTCCTCCGAAACGTCAGTTGACTTTCAGCGGACTATATGACTTATTCAAGAGAGAAAACCCTTCATAACAATCGCTGTCAGAATCTCAAATCCAAAATACACCTTTTATAATCATGTCTGTGAATATAATACGGCCTCTAAATTATTTGAAGTTAGACAGCCCTGATAGGAATCATTCCATTACACTCTTCAGTGCTTGTTGCTTGAACATGCTTCATGGACATTTCAACACAATGTATTAAGAACAGTGGTCCGATTTATGACCCAAATATTTGTTCTTAGACTGTGCCACTTCACTGCATGGTTAAATGACGTAAAAATAAATTGCTCCAAAAAGAAGATCCTAGAACTTTCGTAATGTTTCAACGAAACAATTATTTTCCACAAATATTACCCCAGTCAGAATTTTGCTGCAAGATTATTGATGAATCCGATTCTAATGGATGGCAATGATTTACATTGTTCTAGTCATCAGGCCTAATTTCCAATTTCTAGCATTCATAACGAATCTAGGTTTGTGTATTACTGAGATAATATTAAATTTCTCATTCATATAAATCGATCTATAGATAAACTGTTCAGTTCATTGCGATGTTGCTGTGACAGTTTTTATAAATGTTGAGATTAATATACATCGAGAAATATTTTAAAAGAAATTCCCTTTATATAATGATTGTTGTTTGAAAGTTTGTGTGTCTATTATAGTATTGTATGTCGTGACATGAACATTTTATATAAATATTCGTTGACTGAGAGAAAGTACGAATGCATGTACGAGTAAGTGTAAGGATTGGAAATTCAGTAGGTTTGTCGCATCTAACATCACTTATTTCTTGATAATGTCGTTATGAATATTGAGGGAATATAGAATGTCCGGATGAAAGGTATCCAAAATAAAGTCATATCTCAACGAATTTATTATACACATTAATGGGTTACACCATTAGAAAGGGAAACTATCAAAGGCTTTTCTGCATATATAACTTTCTCAATAAATTTAAATGTGGGCTCCCTTGGTGTCACGATAAATATCCAGACGATCCAGCACCTTTGGTGTTACCATAGCTACAGCGTCCCTTATGCGGGCTTTCAGGTGTTGCAGATCGTTGATCTTAACCTGGTAGACAATGTTCTTCACATAACCTCACAAGAAAAAATTCAGTGAGGTTAAATCTGGCGACCTAGGAGGCCAAGCAGTTGGTTCACCTCTGCCGATCCTAGCCATCTCTCTGTCCAGGTGATTCCTAACACGGTGGCAGAAATGTGGCGGCGTTTCCGCGTAAGCCGGGTATGAAAAGAAAACTTTCAGCGTTTTCCTTTCCGATTACATAAACCGGATATGTATATAACAATTAGTTTCCGAGATATACAATTTTTATTTTAGATACTTTTCATCCGGACACTCTGTATATGCCAGTTAATGCTATGCTGATAGTCTTCAGCTTGTAAAATCGTGTTAGAATTGCAGTAAGTTCAGTCTAATTAATATTCCTTACTAGACCTTTCAATAAATAGTTCTGCTAAGATCTTCGGTTGGTTGGAGCTACCAAGATTCGTGTAAGAAATATTTCTGCCAGTACTAAAAGTCCCTCTTGCGACTTTAGAAGAATCACTTCTCTCTTAGTTGTTGCAAATCTCTTTCTCTCTTAGTCTCCTAAAGACGTTTCTGTACTTTCGGTTCTCGAAATATATAATTTGAGAAAGTGGTTCTGTTTCCATCTTCAAGCCTGAGGGAACCAAATCCAAAAGTTACGTTTGATGGAGATAATCTCGGCCATTAAATTCTCTTCTGAAATGTTGCATTTTAAGAAAAACCAAGATAATAGATAAGGTTAAAAATTAAAAATAATTGTAACACACTTTTAATAGACATTCAGAAATTAACCATATCTTTGTTGACTGGAAAATATTTTCATTAAAGTCTTCTAAAGTACAATAATTTTCTTTTTGGACATTATACATCGTCCTGTTTTTCATTTAAAACACAAGGTAGCGTAGTTGGTTGAGGCACTATGCTACAAGCCAGAAGGGCGCGCTTTCGATTCCCGATGAGGTGATTGGATTTTTTAATTCACCTAATCATTTCAACCGCATTATGGCCCTGGGGTCAACTCAGATTCTAACAGAAATGAGTACCAGGAGTCTTTCTGGGGGTTAAAGGGCGGCCGGATCATAAGCCTGACAACCTCACCGCCATCTGTGAGCAGACTGTCTAGAAAACGTGGGAGCCTCGACGTCTCACAATACTATGGGCCTCCATAGCCTGTTATAGGACAGCTGTTACTACTATATGCCGTCAAATCCCAGAAGAGAGTAATCGAAATGCACGTATTGTGATGTAGCTCTATTTCCTATTTAGGATTTAAGGTTTTCAGCGCGGTGGTTATGAAGAGTTCTATCCTCTGGGATATAACGCCGTACAGTCCGTTGAAAATCATATGAATCTCAATGGATTACACGGCGTTATGTCCCAGAAGACAGAACTCTGCTAATTTCCTATTTTTCCATTCTGAAATGTTTTTCTATCATTTGATCCAATGATACTGAACCTCGAACATTTTAAAACTGCCTTGCTCTTCCAATTTCAGTCTGCATTGATCATATCATTAAAAATAAGTGAACTGAAATGGAACTATGGTGATCTAAACGATAATTAACACAATAAGCTGCAGCATAATCTGTCCAGTTATATTCTTTGTTTATCCATGCCCTTATGATAATCTTCAAGTTGTAGCACACTTTCTCCTGTTATATTCTTGTTTAACCATGCCCTTATGAAAATATTCACGCTGTAGCATGCTTTGTCCTGTTATATTCATTGATTAACCATGCCCTTGAGATAACCTTCAAGTTGTAGCATACTTTGTCCTGTTAAATTCATTCTTTAACCATGCCCTTAAGATTATATTCAAGAACTAGCATAATATGTTCTGTTATAATCATTCACTAACCATGTCCTTATGATAATCTTCAAGTTGTAGAATACTCTGTCGTGCTATATTCGTTGTTTAACCATGACCATATGATAATATTCAAGAAGTAGCATAATATGTTCTGTTACAATCATTCATTAACCATGCCCTTATGCTAATCTTCAAGAAGTAGCATAATCTATCCTGCTATAATGATTCATTAACCATGCCCTTATAAAAATCTTCAAGCTGTAGCATACTCTGCTCTGTTATATTCATTGTTTGGCCATGCCCTTATGAAAATCTTCAAGTTGTAGCATACTCTGTCCTGTTATATTCGTTGTTTAACCATGCCCTTATGATAATCTTCAAGTTGTAACATATTCTGTCCTGTTATATTAATTGATTAGCCATGCCCTTATGAAAATCTTAAAGTTGTGGCATACTCTGTCCTGTTATATTCGTTGTTTAACCATGCCTTTATGATAATCTTCAAGTTGTAACATACTCTGTCCTGTTATATTAATTGATTAACCATGTCCTTATGATAATCTTCAAGCTGTAGCATACTCTGCCCTGTTATATTCATTGTTTGGCCATGCCCTTATGAAAATCTTCAAGTTGTAGCATGCTCTGCCCTGTTATATTAATTGATTAACCATGCCCTTATGATAATCTTCAAGTTGTAACATACTCTGCCTGTTATATTCATTGTTTAACCATGCCCTTATGATAATCTTCAAGTTATAGCATAGTTTGTCCTGTTATATTCGTTGTTTAACCATGCCCTTATGATAATCTTCAAGTTGTAGCATACTCTGTCCTGTTATATTCGTTGTTTAACCATACCCTTATGATAATCTTCAAGTTGTAGCATAAGCTGTCCTGTTATATTCATTGTATAAATATACCCTTATGATAATCTTCAAGTTGTAGCATAATCTGTCCTGTTATATTCGCTTAACCATGCCCTTATGATAATTTTCATTAGTAATTCATATTTCCAGTAAGACTATATTCCAGTTACTGTAATTAAGTAAAAGTCTAAATTGTGCACTTTCAGAGTACACAATATCAGCGGTATACGCGGTTAATTCAGTTAGAAAGGATGATAACATTGTAAATACTAGTCATTTGTGTACAAACTGCATCTTATGTGTTCAAACGCTTTGAAATGGTAATACACTATTACCCAGAATTGTGTTACTTATTTCTCATTCCACATAGTCTTATGTTTATCTATTACTATTTTGATGTTGTAAGGCATAAAGTTTTCTTTTAATACTGGCATATAAATATAT